GATAGAGTGCTTAGTGTTGTAGTGTAATGATAACAACCTCTCTCTCTCAATGTCAGCAAAACATAAGAACTAATCATTGACTTCAGGAAAAAGGAGGACACGCCCTTACCTACATCAATGGAGTTGAGGTGGACAGAGTCGACAGCGTCAAGTTCCTAGGAGTGACGATAACCAATAATCTGCCCTGGACCTCCCAAGTAGATGGTCAACAAGACACCACAACGCAGCCTCTTCCTCATGCGGCTTAGGGTATTCAGCATGTCCATAAGGACCCTCACCAACTTTTACAAATACACCATAGAAAACATTCTATCTGGGTGCATAACGGCTTGGTACAGCAGGGTGCTGCTCTGGCCAGAACCGTAAGAAACTAAAGAAAGTTGTCTGGGCTGTGCACACCATCACTGAAGCCAACCTCCCATGCATGGAATCCACTTACACTTTTTGTTGCCACGGAAAGGCGGCCAATGTCAAATACCTCTCCCACCCTGGTAATGCTCACTTCCAACCTGCCCAGTCAGGCAAAAGCTACAGAAGCTTCAACACATGTACCAACAGGCTCAAGAACAGCTTCTTCCAAATAATGTTGATCGTCCTAATGTTGACCTTGCTTTGCGCACCTCCTGTGTGGCCGTAACATAGATGATAGGAGCAGGTGGCGGCCATTTGAGCCTGCTCCGCTGTTCTTCAGAATTATGGCTGATCGTCCAACTCAATAGCCTAATCCTGCTTTCTCCCCATAACCTTTGATCCCATTCACCCCAAGTGCTATATCCAGTCATCTCTTGAATACATTCAATATTTTGGCATCAACTAAGTCCTGTGGTAATGAATTCCACAGGCTCACCCACTCTTTGGGTGAAGAAATGTCTCATCTCCTTCCTAAATCATCTACTCACAAATCCACATACTGTGACCCCTGGTTTTGGATACACTCACTATCAGGAACATCCTGCATCCATCCTGTCCAGTCCTGTTAGAATTTTAAAAGTCTCTATGAGATCCCCCGTCATTCGTCTGAACTCCAGTGAAAACAATCCCAACCTAGTCAGTCAACCTCTCCTCATACATCAGGATCCCAATCCCAACCTAGTCAGTCAATCTCTCCTCCTGCCATCCCCGGAATCAGCCTAGTAAACTTTCACTACACTCCCAAGAGCAAGAGCATCCTTCCTCAGAAAGGGCGGCCAAAACTGCACACAATATTCCAGGTGTGGTCTCACTAAGACCCTGTACAACTACAAAAACACACCCCTGCCCCTGTACTCAAAACCTCTTGCAATGAAGGCCATCATACTATTTGCCTTCTTTATCACCTGCTGTGCCTGCATGCTTCAGCGACTGGTGCACAAGGACACCCAAGACCTGCTGCGCACTGCCCTCTCCCAATTTACAGCCATTCAGGTAGTAATCTGCCTTGTTTTTGCTTCTGAAGTGAATAACCTCACATTTATCCAAATTATACTGCATCTGCCATTGATACGCGCCCCCTCACCCAACCTGTTGAGATCATGCTGAACAATCTGTATCCTCCCGACAGTTCACCGCCTCCCCCCCCACACAACTCGGCATCATCTACAAACTTGGAGAGGTTACATTTTGTTCCCTCATCCAAATCATTAATATATATTGTGAATAGCTGGGGTCCCAGCACTGATCCCTGTGGCACCCCACTAGTTACTGCTTGCCAATTTGAAAAGGATCCATTAATTCCTACTTTGTTTCCACTCTGCCATCTAGTTTCCTAGCCATCTCAATACACTCCCCCACCCCACCCCATCCCACACGCTTTATTCTTGTTAATCACTTATGTGGGACTTTGACTGGCTCCCCATTGTCAACTCTACTAGTTACATCTTCATAGAATTTGTCAAGCATGATTTCCCCTTCATAAATCCATGCTGACTGTCTGATCCTGCCACTGCTTTCTAAATGCTCCGCTATAAAATCCTCGACAATGGATTCGAGAATTTTCCCCATTACCGACGTTAGGCTCACCAGTCTATAATTCCCTGTTTTCTCTGCACCTCCCTTTTTGAATACTGGAGTGACATTAGCCACCTTCTAATCTGCAGGGACTGTTCCAGAGTCGATAGTATCCTGGAAAATGACCAACGTATCTACCATCTCTAGAGTTACTTCCTGAAGTAATCTGGGATGTAACATTGTATGCCGTGCTCTAAATGCCCTGTGATCGATATGTCCTTGTTTGCTATGATCTGCCTGCACTGCTTGCAAAACAAAGCTTTTCATTGTACTTAGGTACATGTGACTACAACAAATCCAATGAAAGATAACTAGGAGTGGAAAATGGAAATAGCATAATGAATGCAAAAGAGGCTACACTTTAGTAAGAAGTGCAATGACTGGTGAAGGCAGAAATGTCTGAAAGGATTTTGTGACAAGGAATCAAGGAACTATAAAACGTTTTTATGATCTGTAGTGAGACACAAATGCTCCTAGTGATAGTAGGAACTGCAGATGCTGGAGAATCTGAGATAACAAATAGAGCTTCTGAAGAAGGGTCTAGGCCCGAAACATCAGCCTTCCTGCTCGGCCTGCTGTGTTCATCCAGCTCTACACCTTGTTATCACAAACGCTTCTAGGCCATTTGACATGGATGGAATTATTTTTCCTGTTGTTCAACACTGGACCAATGCAGTTCTATGGGGTCTATGCAAAACTAAGGTCTAAGGCAGTGCTTCACAAACTATTTTCCAATGTGACTCCATTTTAATTGGGCACCACCTGCTCAGGGGCAGGATAGGCAACAAAGGCTGGCCTTGCAAATGACATTCAGTCGATGAACAAAAATAAATATACATAGGAAAAAATTCTTGATTAATGTGCCCTGACACACCAAAAACAAAATAAAGCAGCATCGTAGTATTTGCTACATCAAATTATGCAAATCGCTGATCAACTTGCACCATGAAATCTGCTTCTGCAGTATTTTGCAAATATGAAAAGTTCCCCAATAAATTCACACCCCTCTTAATCTGCCTACCCTCAAACACTTACTCATGCCCTCCCATCTCCACTCAGCCCTGCTCAGGCCCCACAGGCCAACCAGAGAGGCCACCATCAGTTCTGAGGAAGGGTCACCGGACCCGAAACATTAACTCTGTTTTCTCCTCCACAGATGCTGCCAAACCTGCTGAGCTTTTCCAGCAATTTTGTTTTTGTTCCAGAGAGGCCTCAGGCCCTGCTCCATTTCTATTTCTACCAACTCCAACCCTTGCCAATCCTAGTCTGCTGGATTTGAAGTCACCCCAGATGTTGCACTTAACTCCAAACCCCTTCAGTAGACACTTCACCTCTTCAGTCGAGTCAGTTGGCTGCTGTGGCTCCTCTGCAGATCCAAACAGCCAGGGAAGGGGGATCCAGCATCCTGGCAAATAGTAGCTTGAGCTCCTCAGAAACTGATAGAATAGCTGCCCCTTGGCCTATCATTGGATGCTTTGACAACGTTGAAGTTCCAGAGACAGAAAAGAATCAGAGGCAGCGCAAAGCAGCGACTGTTACTGAAAATGAGGCTGGGACCATGGCTGGTTGGAATTTCTCTTGCTCCCATCCCAGGGTAGGAGCCTGAAATAAGAAGCCGAGCAGCAGCTGGATTGGGGAACTGTTCGACCCATTGCTGACAGTGCCTAGGATTGGGCAAGAGGATTCAACCAACCTCAGTGGCAGTGGAGGTGGCACCAAGATGACAGCCTAGAAGTAGCTACTCAAGGCCATGGCCTCTACACCGCCTAATCTAGAAAGATAGATCAGTGGTCGACTGAAGTGAAAAAGGGGCTGAGTGATAAATCTGAGTCAGATAGACAGCAGGAGAAAAGCATAATGATCCAAAAGCTGGTACCCCACAAAATAGCAGAAATTTCTCATCTATTAATCCACTGCTAGAATACTCCATTTAACCATGACATGATTACCGATACTATAGTATTTGAAGTAAACAAATTTCAAGTTGTATTCAATTGCTATCTGTAAATCTACTCTACAATTCTCGGCAAACTTGTGCAATAACCCTGGCTCATTGAATAGCAGCGCAACATTGTTTCCAGGGCAGCAACAGAAATAGCAAAAGAAAACAAACTGCTAATCTGGTGAAACTACAAGACAACTACGTGCACACCAAAAACGTAGGACCAACAAGCAATAGGCATAGCTAAGCAATCCTACAACTAGCACATCAGAAATCAGGCTCTGTTGCGGGTGACTGAGGATAATTAAACAAATAAGAACAGAAGGCAGTTGCACAAATTTTCTTCGCAGTGGGACAAACCAACATATCGGTGCACACTGCAAAACTGAAGCATTGGCAACCAACTTCAGCCAGGAATACCAAGTGGAAGATCCTTCTCAGCCACCTCCCAAGATCTCCAGCATCACAGATGCCAGCTTTCAATTTGACTATTCCTGCATGCTATCAGGAAATTGAAGACATAGTAGTGCAAAGCCTATGGGCCTTGACAACATTCCAACTAAAAAGATTTGTGCTCCAGAATTAACAATGCTCCTAAGCTGTTTCAGTATAGCTGCAACACCAGCTTCTCTCAACATAATGAAAAATTGTCCGGGAAAATCTTGTGAACAGAAAGCAAAGCGAATCAAAGCCAGTCAATTTTCACCCTCTGATATCTTCATATCCTTCCTAAAGATCAGTACCCAGTTTGGACATATATTCCAGCTGAGGCTGAACAAGAGTTTCGTAAAAACATATAACTTTCGTGCTTTTGTACTTAATACTTCTAGAGCTTCTAATGAAAATATAGAACTGATGAGGAAAAACATTTGAAATTAAGAACATGTTCCGTAATTCAACAGCTTCCCTACTTATTCTGTCATAGTAAAATCAGTTCTAGTAAGGCAGGTTGAAAAGTTACGCAAGAAGAACATTCACAAAAACAAATGAGCATTCAAGTCAGTCACAATCTAGGCATTTCACAAATAATAATGTGACTGTTGACTAATTTTTAGGTACCATCATAACTAACCTGAGATCTTGGACACTCTCTCCAAGTTTTTCCAAAAGGAATTTGATGTCATCAGCAATATCTTCATCATCATACTTTTGCTGTTCAAGGTTCTCCAACTGTTTAAGGACTTTGCACTGAATCATAGCAAGTGCATATTCCTGATGAGTTTCTCTTTCTGCAGATTTTTCCAGAAGGTTCTGTTAAAATAATGTGTTCAATATTTTATTTTAATTTTTAAAAAGGAATCAAAACTATATATTAAAAACACACGATAAATACAAGTACAATAATAAATGTTTGTATTTGTGCCCATTCTATGGGCATCCAATATTAAGTTATCTGTCAAGAAATGGCTAAAGGCACCAGACACAGATAAGGCTATTAGCCCTGACAATCTCTTGGTCATGGCAGTGGATACACGTTAAGGATGTGGCTAATGCAGGAGACAAGGGCAAAAATGATAACTTTGTCAATCAATCCCTTATTCAAGACCAATTTTAAAAATCTGAAAAGATCATTTTTTTTTAAACAAGTGAAATCTTTCAAAAGCAAAGCAAATCTGTCATAATATTTTGTGACACTAACAATTTTATATTTAACTGAAAGAACAATCACTTGTCAATGGAATGTGAAAAAAAAATTGCAATTACTGGATTTTTGTAGGTACTGGCATATACAATTGGTGTAAAACATACAAAATCATCAAGATTAGATTGCAATCAAACCAAAATAAAATCATCTTTTGCACATTGCAAATTTATCATCATATTAAAAATTAGTTGAACTAAACTCTCTCAAGTATCAAATTGTTCTAAACAAAGAATTTTGCAAATAATTAAGACAAATATTTGTTTGCTACTCGATTTTCAATTTTACAACTTATTTTTAACACTACGGAACATTTTTAATAGTCTTTATCTTTGCATGTAGCTATTCACATACTAAAATTTTGTTTGTCACTGCTCTGCTTGCTAAAATGCTGTGTCTTTTTCCAGAAGTTACAAATGTCCATTCAGAAGTTTCTATTTGGGCACTCTTTGACCACATTTTATGGTCTTAAAAACAATATGAAAGGGCTGTTCCTGGTTGGTGCATAAATCATAAATAATACCAAGTTATGTTTGCATGTGCAGATGTAAAGTTAAGTTGATGATTTCATTAATTTGTAAATGTGGCTTACAAAACACCAAGTTTTGCATCGAAGCAGCCAAATAGACCAAAAACCTTGAACACTTCTGATTCAACTTATTTTGAACTCTAAGCAAACTCAATGTTCCTCTTAGCTTAATATCGGAGATGAACTTCATTGTGATTATAGATTATGTAATAAAATCCAGCGCAAATTAGGAGGCCCATGTCGTAACCAAAATGTCAATTGTTTTCCATTAATGGTCTAAAACATGGAAAATTAATTGTTCTGAAATAGTAAAGCAATTAAGGTTAGAAAGTGTCATGAATAGATCATTCAGATCTTTGAGTATTCTTCACTATTAATAAGACCATAGCTACATCACCACTTTTTACCTGTCTTATCATATCCTTTGATTCCAAAAACAGCCTACAATCTATTAATTTCCGTTTTAAATACATACAACCATACAACCTTTGATGTGGGGAATTTCATCAGAGCGAAAACATTTCAATCTTAAATGGCTTAACTCTCATCGAGAGACTGACACTCAGATCTAGACTTTCCAATTGGAGAAAACACCAAATCTGCATCTACTTTCTCCAAGTTCAAAAAATTTTATACATTTCAAACAAATTAGTTTTCATTATTCTAATCTCTAGAGACTGTATGGCCCATCCTCCTTAAAATCAATTCTCATCAAATACTACTATCATCCTAAGAATCAGAGTGAATACTTGTTTCATTTTCAAGAATGAGATTGATAGAGTGCTTAGGACTAAAGGGATCAAACAATATGGACAGAAAACAAGAACAGGGTACTAAGATGATCAGCCATGATCATAATTATTGGTGAAGCAGGTTGCAAGGGCCAAATAGCCTACTTCAGCTCCCATACATTGCTCTGTTGCACCACTCCGAAGGTGTGTATATACTACATGGGGCAAAGAAGCCAAAACTGCGGTGTTCCAGTGTAGTCTCCAAGGCCTAGGTAATATAAAAATATAAACGTGTATAGGCACACTATTGCATCAAAACTTCAATTTTAATGATACAAAGGCAAACAAATTATTTGCTTGCTGTTTACAGTATTTATAAATACATAGAATAGTTTGCTAATGAGCCAGTGACTGGAGTTCAAAAGGCTTCATTTTAGATTTAGAGTCCTAAATTATACATCATCTCATTATAAATAGTAAAGATCAAATGTCTACCCCAACCTTATTAGGGGAATGAAATATTACACAAATAAACAACAATGCATGGTTGTTAAAGGGAGTATTGTTTAGAGTGGCAGCTATGAAATTTCAAATCCACGTGAGAGACGTCCAGTTATCAAAGTCAACAGATACCATTAAAAATAGACTTTTTTTTAAAAAATATCTTTGGACAGATTGTCCTGTTGCTCAAAAGGTGGTGCAAATAAGACAAATTTTACATGATAGACATTTAGAATTTTGTCTCCAGCGCATTTTCATATCATCATGTTGCTCAAATCTTATGGTCAAGTGAATAACATGCTGCTTTATAAAAGTATTATATGGCAAGTTTTGCAAAGACACTAATTTTAAAATGGCCATTTCAGTCAATAAATTCTAAAATGCCAATTTGAGTCACTGAGCATTTTTTCTTTCATTCATCAGATCTCAGCTTTGTCAGCAAGGAAAGCATTTGTTGCCCAACCCTAAATGCCCTCAAGGTGATCATGAGCTGCCTTAACTGTTGTAATGTAGAAACAGTTCTACTGCTGATGATAAAGGAGTTTAAAGATTTTGAGGAGCAACAATGTAGGAGCAGAACCAAAATTGCATTTTTGGTGAACTTGCTCGTGGTGGTGTCCCCATGGCCCTATTGGTCTTCTCCTTCTACGTGGTATACATATAAAGGCCTTGAAAAATGCTGCCAAAGGAACTTCAATGAGATGCTGCAGTGCATCTTGCAGATGGCACATACTGCTGTCCTGCAATATGATGCACAGTGACATGATTGTTTAAAGGTGATGGACAGGGTCCAAACCAAAGAAATTGTGGACACAATGCACCCAAAGTGCAAAATTCACGTTCTGGAGTACTTGACTACAACCACTATGTTAATAACCACTGTAAAACATATGCTTCATCACTGCTGCTGTTTATGTATTCTCTTACTATTCGATAAAGTTTTTCCAGTTAAAGTGGAAGTCACAATTTAGTGTGCTGCTAATTGGTCACCTCTCCAAGTTAAGGAAGGCCATAGGGGAATGTAACCTAAGCATCTCAAACAAGTTGAACATTCCTAGTTAAGGTGCTCTAATTTATTTTTGAGAAAGTATCAGTTTATTACCCATTACTTCGTCTATTAGAGTTTCTACTCGGTTACAGTCCAACAAGTTTATTTGAAATCACAAGCTTTCAGAGCGCTGCTCCTTTGTCAGGTGAAGTCACACTCCAAAAGCACTCCAAGTGGAAGTTCACAAGTGGAAGCATACAAGTGTCATATTTAAACAGTTACCAGCAGAGTTAGACAACAATTTCCCAAATTAAGTTGAAAATACAGCAAACATTTTATTAATTGGAACCTCTGGAACCCAGGAGTATGCTGGTTAATCAAATTTTCAGATAATCAAGAACTCCACATAATGTAAAAACACACATTAAGTATCAGAAATATAATGCAAGGGACATACACATCACTGTTATTCTTTAATTAAGGCAAAGTTGCATTATTATTTGTGATTTATGCTGTAAATAAAGTTTACCAACAGAAAGCCTTTTCACTCATCCTCAACTGACTATTTGGACATTGTAGTAGATTGTGAGAAATTGATTCAAAACTGAATAAACTGTTGATTTTTCATGTGGCCATTCAATTGAACAAGTGTACTTACACAGATAACCAAATTCAAAACTATAGTCATTGAACAGAATAATACAGTAAACTTTATGGTATTTGAAGTATATAATTTTTGCTGCTTTATTGTGTGTGTCAGTTCAAACAAAGTTTGTTGCAGATACTTCTGAAACTTTGTGGAGTTGGAAACCATCCAGTGGAAGGACCAAAAATATAAAAGAACTTAAATAATCTAAACTAAACCTTAAATACAGATGAAAATGAAATAAAATTGCTTTGAACAAAATAGTTATGAATTATGATACAAACTGTTTAGTTCCAGAAAAATGCTGACAAAATTGTTTGATTGATCAATTCTTTTCTCCTACACAAATTAAAATGTGTTACCATTATAAATCTAAAACATATCCAAAGGCAAAGCAGGAACAATGCCCTTACTTTACAAAGTTCAAGATCTTCATGAAAATATGATTGCCATCTTTTTCACTCCTGCTGCACTTTATTTATAATCTCAATAAAGACCAGTACTGAAATGAAATAACTAGAACAGGTTTCAGGCACCAGCTTATCCCAAAATGACAACCTATGCAAACGAGCTTAGTGAAACAAATAACTTGTTTCTGGAACAAATCTTACTTTCAAATGGTTAAACTTTCAAAAGGCTTCAACAATCTGATATTAATTACATGATCATCCATGACAAGATATATATTTCATAACAATTCTAGCACGTTTGGCAATAAAAATGACTGAAATTTAGGTTATGATAACTATGCAATCTATCAAAAATGAGTTGCATACATACCCTAAATGTTGCCAGAATAATTCTGGTAACCTTTTCTTTCACAGATTCCTGAAGAATATCTGATAGGGCTGGAACAATGTTCAATCTGCGCAGATACTCACACAGCTGTGGACTGAAGGCCAGTAACCAGAAGGAGAAGATCATCTGATACTGCAGCTGGAAGCCACATTTGTTGTTTATAACAGCTAAGATACTGTGGCAGGGTGGGAGGGGGGGGAAAGTGAAAAGAAAGTTTTGAAATAATCCTTGCCATTTTTTCGAATGGAATTTCTGATCTAAAATAATTAAAAATCTGTTCAGAATAGCTTATCAACCCACTGTGCAACCCTCCCCTCTAACATCATGAACGAAAAATCAAAACAGAACCATGAATTTTGTTTAAATATAAAATGTTACAGAAAAACTGAATCAAACTATTTTTTCAGCTCATATTTGTGATTCACAAGTCTCCTATAACTAATGTATCTATTCACATCCAACATCATTTATCTGCCATTGGTATGAAATAATAAACCCAGTAAGACTGATGAAAACTATAAGCAGTTATGAACATTTTAATCTGATCTTTACCAGACTTTTCTTCTGAAGTGTACAAGGCAACTCAAATATATTCAAAGCAAAAATTCTCAAATATTACAAATACAAATACAATCATAAATCAAAATGTGTACCATTGAAAAAAATCAACTAGCTGAACATGAGGAAGCCTCTTCCCTCTTCACCAGTCCAATTCTCAACCTAGCTCACCTAATCCAGTCTGAAAATCTGAATGGCAGGCAGCCATCTTTACAAGTTGGGTTCACAAAGCCAATGACTCTGTACCCCTGACTTGGGAATGGAAAAACAAAAAACAGGGCTGAACAACTGTCACCCGTTTCTTTTTTGTTTCTTGGACATGGAGCCAATGCCACTTTCACAGGGCTAGCCCATGTAGCAACAACTTGCATCAATAGGTAGAATTCCTGTTTTTAACTGGCAATGTCCACTGAAACATCCCCTCCTTTATTAAGGAGCAGACACTAGAATCTCAATGACTCAATTACTACAAGGTGCATTCATCACATGTATTAATATCCTTTGATATTATCGCTAGACTTTTAATTCAGAAACTCAGCTAAACGTTCTAGGCACCTGGGTTCAAAATTCTACCACAGATGGTGGAATTCAAATTCAATTTAAAAAAATCTGTAATTAAGAATCTAATGATGACCAAGATTGTCAGAAAAACTCATCTAATTCACTTAAGTGCTTCAGGGAAGGAAATCTGCCATCTACTACATGCAACTCAAGAGCCACAGCAATGTGGATGACTCTCAACTGCCCTTTAAAATGGTCTAGCAAGCCTTGTATCAAATCAAGTCTTAAAGAAATGAGAAAGGACAAAAACTTGGCATCAACCTAAGCACTGTAAACAACTACAGCCCTGTTAACCCTGCAAAACTGGGAGAGCCATCTCAGACTAGTCAAGCAACAGTCCAACTAGTTAATTCTTCACAGAATCATATCTTGCAATGTCTCAGGCACCACCATCAGCATCCTGGATATGACCTGTCATACCCAGAGGTGGTGGCACCGTGGTATACAATTGGAAGAGTGTTGTCCTGGGAGCCCTCAACATTGAATCCAGACCCCATGAAGTCTCGTGGCTTCAGGTTAAACACAAGAAACAAACCTTCCTGCTGATTACCACATACCTACCTCCCTCAGCTGATGAATCAGTAAGAGTCCATGTTGAACAACAGAGGAAGCACTGAGGATGGTAAAGGTGTAGAATTTCAATGCCCACCAACAGTGGCTTGTCAGCAGCACTATTGAGACAGCCAGTCAGATTCTAGAAGGCATAACTATGAAACAGTCTGCAACAGGTGGTGAGGAACCAGCAATAGTGAAAAACATACTTGACCGCTGCAGACATATCTACCCATGACAATATTACAAAGAGTGACCACCGCACAATCCTTGTGGACACGAAGGCCCAACTTCACATTTTACTGTGTAGCAGTATCACCGTCGAACAGATCTAGCAACTCAAGACGGAGCATCCATGAGGTGCTGGGGGGCCATCAATGGCAGCAGAACCCTACTATCTGCAACCTCATGGCTCAGCAGATCTCCCACTAAAACATTATGATCAAATGAGGGGATTAACCTGGATTCAATAGAGACTGCAGGAGACAGGAACAGCACCAAGCATACCTTAAAAGATGTTAGCCTGGTGAAGCTACCAAACAACTATTTGCCTGCCAAAAAATTCCACAACCAGATAGATCTAAGCCCTGTGCAGTACTGTCACATCCAGTTGTGAATGGAGGAGGGCAATTAAACAACTCACTGGAGCAGGTAACTCCACAAATATCCCCATCCTCAATGATGGAGGAGCCCAGCACATCAGTGCAAAAGGTAAGGCTGAAGCATTTGCAACAATCTTCAGCCATAAGTGCCGAGTGGATGATCCATCTCTGCCTCCTCCAGTAATCCCCAGCATCACAGATGCCAGCCTTCAGCCAATTCGATTCATTCCATGAGATATGAAGAAATTTTTGGAGGCACTGGACATTGTGAAAGCAATAGGCCTGACAACATTCTGGCAACAGTACTGAAAGATTTATGCTCCAGAACTTGCAGCACCCCGAGCCAGAGTCTTCCAGTACAGTTACAAATTGGGCATCTACCCTGTAAGGTGGAAAATTGGCCAAGTATATCCTGTACACAAAGAGCAGAACAAATCCAACCCAGTCAATTTACAGCTCGATCAATCTACTCTCAATCATCAGTAATGCGATGGAAGGGGTCATCAACGGTGCTATCGATAATAATTATCAACAACCTATTTAATGACATCCAGTCTGGGTTCCGCCAGGACCACTCAGCTGCTGACGTCATTACAGCCTTGGCTCAAACTTGGACACAAGCTGATTTCCAGATCCGAGATATGAGTGATAGCCCTTGACAGCATTTGTTGGAGGCATCAAGGAGCTTTCAATGGGAAAAGGGGGAAATCTCTGTTGTTTGGGGTCATACTTGGCAAGATGGCTGTGGCTGCAGGAGGTCAATCATGTCAGCTCTGGGACATCTTTGCAGGAGTTCCTCAGTAGTGCCCTATGCCAAACCACATTCAGTTGCTTCAAATTACCTGCCTACCATAAGGTCAGAAATGTGAATGTTTGTCAATGATTGCACAATGTTCAGCATCATGTGAGACTCCTCAGATATTGAAACAATCCATGTTCAAATGCAACAAGACTTGGACAATAGCCAAGCTTGGACTGACAAGTAACGAGTAACATTCATGTTACAAGTGCCAGACAATAAAATCTCCAATAAAAGATAATCTAACCAACATTCCTTGACACTATGGCCTTACCATCACTGATTCCCCCATCATCCTCCTGGAGGGTTACCAATCATCAAAAGCTGAACTGGACCAGCCATATAATAGTGGCTACAAGAGCAGGTCAAAGGCTAGGAATACTAGAGAGAGAGTATCTCACTCCTGTCTCCCCAAAGCCTGTGCACCATCTACAAGGCACATGTCAGTGGTGTGATAGAATACCCCCCACTTGCCGGGCTGAGTGCAACATTACTCAGTGCTTGACACCATCCAGAACAAAGCAGTCCAACTGATTGGCATCAAGTCAATAACATCCACACCCTCCATCACCAACTCAACAGCAGCGGTGTGTACTATCGGCAAGATTGACTTCCCAAGTGACTTCCATCTAGAAGAACAAGGGCAGCAGAAAAATGGGAACACCAGCAAATTCCACTCCAAACCATTCACCATCCTAACTCAGAAATATATTGCCATTCCTTCAGTGCTGCTGGGTCAAAATCCTGGAACTCCCTCTCCCATGTCATTGAGGGTCTATATACATGGACGACAACTGATCAAGAAGGCAGCTTAAAATCACCTTCTCAAGGGCAACAAACGATGGCTAACCAGTGACATCCATGTCCCACAAGAGAATAAAAGTATACTTCGGGTATATTTACATTTATTTCAGAATGAAACGTAGAGTACTTGGCATACATTGAAAACTATGAAAGACTTCAATAGGACATGAATTAAATGAAATTGGCAGCATGGTAATAGATACAAAGAAAAAGTGAAATGATGCCTTAAAAAAAGAAGAAAAACAAGGAAGAAATATAACAACATTTCCATCATGCAGGGTGTGAAGGAGTAGAAACATTTAGGATACAAAGACTCTTTTGAATGTATCAGCAGATGCTGCTGCTTGTAGCCACTATCAGGAGATCTGTCATCCTATAACATACTGGTCTGTCTTGTGCCATCTGCACGCTGTTAGCAACCAGTGACATCCATCAACCACTAACCCTATTTTGGCTGCCCTCCACTTTGCCCTCCAGAAGTCATCTTTGTAGCTTTTCAGTTTTGATCAAATTTCCAAAATACTGACATTTCCTTTTCTAGAGATTTTTGTTTGAAAAGAAAAACAAGAATTACTTTTACTCTTGCAATTTCATGTACCTCAGTTTATCTTATGGCCTATAGTCTTAGCATGCACAAATTAAGCTTTCTTGCTGTGAGCACATCTTCACAAAATTACTTACAGCTATCTCTCACCCTCTTACTGCACCACATAATTTGTCATTGCTACCAATTGCCCCAAATAAAGAAACTCAAGCACTGTTTCAGTCTGCCCGTCTACTTCAATCTCAATGCTAGTTTGTTCTACAGTTTTTCCTCAAACTACCATTGTTTTTGTTTTTTTTTGCTGTTCTTATTCCATATTCTAAACTTCTAGGTTTTATTGATTAAAATATTTTGAGCCCTTTTGCTGAATCTGCAAATGGTGCAGCTGTGTACACAGTTCATTGAGCTTTTGCCTCTCAACTTTACCCATGGAAGCACATCTAATTCTGAAAATTTGTTTTGACAATCATTTACAGCCTTATTGTACTTCACTCTTCACTTAAAAGATGTCCAATTGTCTCTCCTGTTCACTAGTTCTATTTTGTCCCAGTCTGGGCTCTGGATAAGCCTCCTCTTTCCTATCAATGTCACACTTCAGCAACATATCTATAAAGAAATTGTGATATACATGATCAAACACTTAAGTGCATGTAAAATGCTGATTATTGCTAGGTATTTATCAAGGATTGTTGCTAGGTTAGACATTCCCACTCATTCTTACTACAAGTCTGGTGATCACCAATCTTTGCTTCAAA